TGATGCTGATGATGATGTGACGACGATGATGATGATGACGATGATGATGATGATGATGATGATGATGATGATGATGATGATGATGATGATGATGATGATGATGATGATGATGATGATGATGATGACGCCGACGACGACGACGACGAGGAGGAAGGTGCAGGAGGAGGTGGACAAGGAAAAGGAAACGGAGAAGGAGGAGGAGGTGGAGGAGGAGAAGTTGGAGGAGGAGGAGGAGGAGGAGGAGGAGGGAAACCGGCCGCGCGAGGTCGGGGGAGGAGGAGGAGGGAGGAGGAGGAAGGCGGAGACGAACGCAGGGCAACGAGGAGGAGGAGGAGAGGAGGGAGGCGGAGGAGGAGGAGGAGGAGGAGGCGGGTAGGCGGAGGGATGGGCGGAGGCGGAGCGGCGGGTGAGGGAGGAGGAGGAGGGGTGGCGGCGGAGGCGGCGGCGAGAAGGCGGAGCGGAGGAGGAGGGAGGACGAGGCGGACGAGGAGGTGGGTTGTGGAAGCGGAGGCGGAAGCGGCGAGAGGAGGCGGGAGGCGGAGAGGAGGAGGCGGACGTGTAGTAGGAGGAGGAGGAGGAGGAGGGGGCGGAAAGGAGGAGGGGGAGGAAGAGGTGGAGGAGGTAGGGGGCGGAGGGGAGGAACTGGAGGAGGGGGGAGGAGGAGGCGGAGGAGAGGAGGAGGCGGCCGGGGAGGAGGAGGAGGAGGGGGAGGTGGAGGAAGATGAGGATGTGGAGGAGGCGGAGCGGGAGTAGTATTTCGTAGTGGTAGTAGTCGTAGGGTTGTTCGGGTTTCTTGTTCGGCTTAAAGAGAATGTAGAGGATGTAAGGTTTCGGGTTCGGGAACGCGCGCGGAAAAAAAAAAATAGCCTGACGATGGACCCAACCATCTGCAGGTGTGAGTACCGCAATTGTGATTCACTTTTTCGGTGGAGATCCCTATGAGGCAACGAACCGTGCTAGGGGTGTGCCGAAATGAGTGGCGTGGTACACAACGCGAACGAAAACGAACAACACAATGCGGGCTGCGCCACGGGGACCTTCGGTGGGGCTCCATATGGGGCCACGGTCCCTGGTTCTCTCGTGTCCGGCGCCAGCGTGTTCTGGCAGAGCCTTTCTGGAGCACGCCACACGCAGCGCAATCACGGCAACCTTCTTTCCTTCCCCCTCTGCGCCCCTGCGCGCGCGTGCTTGCAAAAGGGAGGGCCGTACGTACCAGAGCTGCTTTTCCACAGGCCAGGCTGCAGAGCCTGCGAGACCGGCGAAACCTCACACGCACCGCTGGCGAACGAGCTATAGGCTATAGTTCTGTGCGCAAATCAGATGAATGATATTGTCGATTGCTGTATAGTGGGCGACTCCCAGGGTAGAGGACGACGAGGGGGGTCACCACCCACCAAACCACCCCAACCCGACCCGACGGCCTCGATTTGCTTTCCGTTTCCAGTGGGGAAGGGGGTCGGGGAACGCTGAAAAAGCACATGGAACCCGTACCCCCCCCAACCCGAAGCTCGGGTCGGATTCGGGTCTTCGCGTTGGGCTGGGGTGGTCTGGGTAATTGGGTGGTCAGGAGGAGGACGAAGAGGGGACGAGCACGAGGAACTGCGCAGCAAGGAGGGGCGAGGGAGGAGCACGGAGAGGCGCGCGCCGCAGGCGCGCGGAGGCCAAAAAAGCGCGGGCGCGAGCGGCCCTGGGGGCGTCCTGCGAGGAGGCCCGCGGGCCTCCTCGCACGCCAGAAGTCCGAGGGCAGGTTTACGAGAGGGAGGCTTGCCCACCGCCGCATCTTCGGCCTCAAGGGGGCCCTCGCCGGGCCTCGGGAGCGTCAGAGAACGACCCGGGACGAAGCGCGGTGGCCCGCGGGCCTCCTCGCACGCAAGAGGTCCGAGGGCAGAGGCTTGCCCAACGCCGCATCTGCGGCCTCCGGGGGCCCTCGCCGGGCCTCGGGAGCGGCAGAGAACGCCGCGGGACGAAGCAAGCCGGCCCCGGGGAGGCGGTCCGCACCTCCGAGGTCCACGCACCACAAGGATGGGAGCAGCTGGACGTCTGGGTCCCGCGAGCCCCCGTCCGAGGCCAGAATTTACCCATATCCACCGCCTGGAGGCTCCTTTTTCGGAGCCGCGGCCGGCGGTGGATATAGGGACATGACATCTTCGGGCCCTTCGGGGCCGAAGTAGATCCATGTCCACCGCCCGCTGGGGCACCAGGGCGCCGGTGCCCAGGCGGTGGATACGACTGCGACGAGTCTTTGGACTTCCTTCTCCGGCGACGCGCCCGGGCGGTCCGCGGGCGGTGGGCCCGCGCGCGCCTTTCCTCCGGCGGCGCCCCCCTCGTTGTGGCGGCCGCGCAGAGGCAGAGGGCGCCGCCCGAGCCGCGAGGTAGGCCGCCCAACGGCAGGCCGCCCTAGTGCAGTGCTCAACGGCACCGCCACGGGTACGGTAGGTTTGCGTCGTGTCGACCAGCGGCGACACCAGCGCGGACGTTCCAGGTTGAACGCCGCCGGCGACCCAGAATCGATCGATGTTGAACGATCGGACGTTGCGGCAGCGGCCGATCGTTCAAGGTTGAACGATCCCTGCGGTGTCAAAAACCAACGCTGGGGTCGGCACGACACGAACCTGCCGTACTTACTGACGGGTACTTTGCAATTGTGCCGAAAATTGCCACTTCAGGGCCCCTTTCGGGCAATGCCGCGTCGCCCGCATGGGGAAGGGCTGGGTTCGCTGGGTCACCGGCCAAAGTACCCGTTAGTGGAGTCCCCGCTTGAGGGGCGCTGAAGTGCCCTGAGGTAGGCCGCCCTGCTGCGGTGCACAACGCGTGGGGAGAATGGGCATCGAGTCGGGCCTGTCCCTCTACAGGGGGAATGTTCAGAAGTAGTGACAGAATAGCCTGGGGGCGATTTTTGGACTATTTTTGAGCATTCTGGGGGTATTTTTTTTTTGAGCTTTTTATGTTTCGCCCGAAATCCCTCTGTAGGGGGACACGCCCGACTTAACCCTACTGCAGTGTACTACACGTGGGGAAACTTGGCAAACAACTGCGTCGGACAGCAGCTTGTGGTCACAATTGGAGGACGGTTATGTGCACCGTACACATAGAGACAGATTTACCCCTCGACTGAATGAGCGGCGCCCCGGCGCCCACTTCCAGCCCCGCGCGCGGCCGCCCTCACGGGCGAACTGGGAGTCGCCTCGCCTCGCCTTGCCTCGCCCCGAGGTTTCCTGGAGCCTCCCGAGGCCTCCTCGGGTTTCCTGGGGCCTCCTTGGGCCTCCTGTTGCCTCCAGTGGCTTCCTCAGGGCTCCTGAAGCCTCCTTGGGCTTTTGAAGAAACCCGGGTAGCAGCGCAGTCCAAAGCGGGCGGAACGTCTGTCGGAGACGCGTTTCCAGGACGCTGCAAAGCATGCCTGGGGAGCTATTAAGCTATCGAGAG